GGGGGTGTAATGGGGGTAACGGGCAGATTTTGGGAGTGGAGTATGGTTGGGGTGGATACAGGGAAAGCGACTTCAAGGATAGCGCGGATACAGGTGGAGGTATATGGGTTGGATATGGGGGGAGTGGATATGGGGGTGTATATTGGGAGGGCGAAACGGTCGTGGTGGTTACGTAGGGAGTGCATATAGGGGACGGATACCGGGAGGAGGGGGTACGCTGGGTGTAGATATGGGGAGCGTATATGGGGGTCGATATTGGGAGGGGGTTACAGGGGGAGCAGATATGATATTGGATACGATGGGGTGCATACATTGGGGACGTATATGGGGAAGGGGATACTGTGGGAGGTGAATATGTGGATGAGGATACAGTGGGGGGGTAGATATGGGGAGGGAGAATATGGTGAGACATGGATATTGGGAGTGGGGGAATATGGTAAGGGTTAATATGGGCCGGGGAAATGGTGGAGTGGATATAGGGTAGGGACTCACATTGGGGTGGATATGGGGAGGAGGGATATGGTGGGGGGGTTGGATATGGGCCATGGGAAAATGGTGGTGGTGGATACACGGATGGGGCAATATGGTGGAAGTAGATACAAGGAGTTTGTTTGCCATGTGGGTAGATATAGGGAGTGGGATTCAAGGAAGGGGTCTAAGGTGGGGTTGGATATGGGGATGGGGGATACAGTGAGGAGGATATGGTGAATGCCGATAGGAGATGGGGATTTGGTGGTGTTGGGTGTGGAGATGAATATGCAGGGATCAAGATTCGGGTGGATATGGGAGGGTTTGTGCTGGTTGATTGGGGGATGGGCTATACAATGGGGGACGACATAGGGATGACTATGCCAGGGGTAGGTTTTGGGGTGGCTGTAGGGGGGACGAAGATGGGAGGGGTATGTGGAGGTGGATGTGTGGTTGGGAAGAAATACAATGGGGGTGGGTATGTGGCTGAATATGCAGGAGGTAGATATTGGGGGTGGATATGGGAGGGAAGAAATGTGGGTTGGTTACAATTACAGGCACATTCATGGTGGGGAGCATATTATGGTGGTGGATACAGAAATGAACAGTAGAGATGGGGAATGGATGTAAGTCAAGAAATGGGGATACATGGTGGATATGAGAGGAGGTGAAGGAGGGTGGATATGGGTTGAATACATGGGGGCTAGATATCAAGTGAGTGTGCAGGGGCTGGTGGATATGGGGAGAGGTAATACGACATATAGATACGCAGGTGGAAACGGAGGTGAATATATTAGGTTGTAGATATGGGAGGGGGTGGTGGATACAGGGAAGTAGATATGGTGGATGGAAATGGGGTAAGACATGGGAGGGATGTGGTGGAGGATACAGAGGTTATACAGGAATGGATGTGTGAGGGGAAGTCAGTGGGGGTGGGGATATGGGAGTGCAGATGATGGTGGAAATGGCAAGGGGACACGGGGGTGTGGATATGGTGGGTGTGAAAAGGAGGATACAGGAATAGATATGGTGGGAGGTCAATATTGGAGGAAGATATGGGGGGGAGGGTAGATATGGAAAGGGGCATATGGTAGAATGGATATGGCTTGGAGTTGGGGGTGTGGGAGGTAGTGGATATGGGAGGGGTGGTACGGTGGGATGAAAACGGGTTGGGGATGGGAGTCTCTGCAGATACTGGGAAGAGGTTATAAAGGGGTGATGGATGTGAAGGGGTGGGAATACAGTGAGGTGGATATGGAGGGGGTAGGATACAGCGAGGTGGACAAGGGTGTCCGGAGAATACAGAAGAATAAAGTTGATATGGGGATGGTGTATATGGGAGATGTGGTCCCAACAGGATGTATAATGGGGTGGGGGAGAATGGAGGGATATGGGAGTGGGGGTTGGCGGGTGGGATGGTGGGATGATGGATACGGGAGGTGAGGGATCCCGCGATGTGGGAGACGGGGATAAGGGAGGCAGATACCGTGGAAATGGGGGACAGGGTGGTTATGGGGCAGAGGCTGGAGGGTGGGAGTGGGTTGGGTGCTGGGGGCTCTGATGGCGAGGGTGGGTATGGGAGGCGGAGTGGATTCTGGAAGGTACCCAATAAGGGAAGAAGTCGGGACGAGATATGGGAGGTTGGGAATAGGGTGGGTGGGAGGCGTCAGATAGAGAGGTGAGTCAGGGCCGATTATGGGCAGGGAGGGAACAGTAGTTACAGGTAGATGGTGGATACAAGCCGTTAAATACGAGTGAAGGGGAGGTTGTTGGTGGTGGAGCAGATACAAGAGAAGGCGGATACTGGAAGTGGATATGGGCCCACAGTGAACCCAAGGGGCTGCACATATGCGAAGGTGGTGGTTGGAGGAGGGTATGGGGGGGCGATGATGGATACAGCGGGGGGGGTGGTGTCGTATATAATGAGGAAGGACACCAGGGGAGGGTACAGGGAAGGGCAAAATATGAGCTGGGGGATGTGGGAAAGGTGGAGATGGGGGGGGAGCAGAAGCGAGAGATAGGTGGGTACAAGTTCGAGGCAGATATGGGTGGAAGGATATGGATAAAGACAGCGTAGGGGTTTAAACCAAATGTGTGAGAGCAGATCTTTGGTTGAGGATATAGAGGGGGATGGTACAGTGAGACGAAGAGGGAAGACACATGGGAGAGGATACAGACGAGGGGATATGGAGAGGGTACAGTGCGGATATGGGGAAGGGAGAGGTTTAGTGGGTATGGGGGTAGCATGGGGTGAGAGGATGGAGCAGGAATGGCTGACAGGGGAGATTGCACACACTGTGGTCACCACGGGGAGATGTCACGGGAGAGGGGAGAGGCGGGGGGTAGTGTAGTCACGGGGGAGGGAGAGCGAGGTGATACAGAGGGAGGGGGAGGATATGGGGACACAGTGGGGAAGGTCAGTGCTGGGCTGGATGGGGGTGAGTGTCGATGCCCCAGTTAATCAGTATCTCTCTCTCTCTCTCTCTCTCTCTCTCTCTCCCCCACTCCCCCCC